TTTCCGCATGTCAATAGAGACCAACATAAATTTTTTGTCCACGTAAACTTTCTTCATCTAGTATGTTTGTTGGTGTTGCAGAAAAGATAAAGAAAAGCACGGATGCTTAATCTACCTTAATAGTTCTCCCAACTTTGTTAAAGAGCTTCCTTAAAAAAAAATCTCGTCAGGAAACACGATTTGTTCGTGAAATGCATAACATATGTATATTGAAAGCTTGCTAAGAGGTCAAGTGCTTCAACAAATTCCAGTCTCGTCGTCGTCGTCGTCATCATGCAATGTGGCAGTCATCATGTTCGCACCTCGTATCCGGTTCACGGACGTAAGTCGGATGAGTCAGCTCGGAAAAGCATCGTTTTATTTCCGTTGCAAAAGAAGCTCGCCCCCGGCGACGACGACGACGACGACGACGACGCTAAGGCACAACGCTCTCGTGGCAGTGGGTCGCTCGCATTTGTGTCAAGATCAACTAACTTTGTTCGTCGTGTGACAGCAGCATCACACCGCCAAATGTTATGCGATTCGGTGTGTGCATGGGAGAGAGAGAGAGAGAGTGATTATTTCCCGCAATTTTTTTTTATGTTGATTATGATTCCGATCTTTTAAAATTGCTCTATCATGTCCCAGTTTTGAGAAATTCGCGGTTGAGAAATAATGTACCTCAAATTATTATACTTTCTTATATTCTTTTCTATATCGAAAAGTTTTTTTATGTTAAAAAATTAATTATTAATTTAATAATTAAATTAGTAATTAATTTCTTGGTGAACTATTAATTATATTTACACGCGGATCCATTGTTCCCTTTAAAAATTAATGATAAAACTTTTCCGCATGTCAATAGAGACCAACATAAATTTTTTGTCCACGTAAACTTTCTTCATCTAGTATGTTTGTTGGTGTTGCAAAAAAGATAAAGAAAAGCACGGATACTTAATCTACCTTAATAGTTCTCCCAACTTTGTTAAAGAGCTTCCTTAAAAAAAAATCTCGTCAGGAAACACGATTTGTTCGTGAAATGCATAACATATGTATATTGAAAGCTTGCTAAGAGGTCAAGTGCTTCAACAAATTCCAGTCTCGTCGTCGTCGTCGTCATCATGCAATGTGGCAGTCATCATGTTCGCACCTCGTATCCGGTTCACGGACGTAAGTCGGATGAGTCAGCTCGGAAAAGCATCGTTTTATTTCCGTTGCAAAAGAAGCTCGCCCCCGGCGACGACGACGACGACGACGACGACGCTAAGGCACAACGCTCTCGTGGCAGTGGGTCGCTCGCATTTGTGTCAAGATCAACTAACTTTGTTCGTCGTGTGACAGCAGCATCACACCGCCAAATGTTATGCGATTCGGTGTGTGCGTCTCTCATATGCACCGGTTTAAAAATATCCGAGATGCGCCGCTACTCTTTATCTCGACACATTCCCGCGCGCTTCTTTCCTTCCGAAGTTCGAATAATTCGTAAATCGAAGCCTAACATTTTCGACAAACTCGATTGAGTGATAAACATTAGAGAGATAACTTGCTTTTGTTTTAACATTTTCAGAGTGTTGCATATTAATTTCGCGTCATATATTTAGGGCTTTTAAAAAATTTTTTAAAACACGTAATTTATTAATTATAATTTAGTATTTATACTAAATTTTTTGGGAGGGGAAAAAGAATTGCCGAGAATTATTATAAAGCATATCAGTTACAATTAGGGAACAATATGTAATTTATCATGCAAGCCGCAATATAAATATTCATGATTTGATTCATGTTTAGTGAAAAGTAAATTAGAATAAAACTATTTTTTCACTTAAAACTGCGGAACATTAAAGCGTTATCTTTCTCTCTTTTTCTTTTTCGCAGAACATCTGCGATTTAATCAGAAATATATGTCCCCCTTACGACATAAAATGGAATGTCGCACACGTGTCGTACGATTTCAACATTCTCGCTCGCTCCGCGCGAGAAAAGTTTTCATTACAAGGTTGTAAAAATGCATGAAGCCGTTTACAATGCTCAAGGGCGCTTTCATACCTCTGAAAATAAAGCCGATACGAGACATTTAACCCGTTTTTCTTACTATATTCTTCAAATTGTACGAGACGCATCGGCACGTTACACCGATGAGAAATTAGTCGTTTTGGATAATAATAAAGAGCCGGCTATCACACACAATTTAGTCATTCTAGATGCGTTTTTGATGCAATGTTTGCGTAGGATTTTCCTTATTCTATTTTTTCCTTGTATTATTTGCATTAAGGAAATCCCATCATTTTCCGGGGAACATTCTGTCGTATGAAAGTGAAAAATACACGTCAAGAAGCATGATACAATTGAAAATATATAACTGGCAGTGTTATTGTCTCAAACAATGATTAACGTGTCTCGGCCACATTGTCCACTCGAATAAAATGACAACTCCATTCACGTGCATCGACAACCGGAAATGTTTATTCATCGAAAAAAATAACGCGCGTAAGCCTTCTTTACGAGGAAAGCGAGAAAATATAAATAATTCGTTATCCGACTAAACGTAAGCTTTAACGTTTTTTACAGCCTTTTTTTTTTATTTACCGACAATATATAACGCTCGATCGGTCCTTAATGACCCATTAAAGTGCTATCTACCCGTTGTGGATGAAGGAACGCCCGCGTTAATTGGTTTCTCGCGTGACGATGGCAGGTGTCAAGGCAGATACGTCATTCGTCTGATTACACCTGAGGATAAACAGCCTTCCCGCCTCTTTCACTATCTCTCTTTCTCTCTTTCTCTCTACACTTTGGATAAAATTTCTGGCGCCGAATGCTTATCTTCCCGCACGATTCAGTGATTCAGTAAAGACACTATTAAGGTATAACAAATATACTCTAGCTATTCTCACAAACAATTGACTTTATTGACAATGTAATTCTAACGCGCATTTTGTCTCTTTGAATCAAAGCCACCGCACGAATTGTAAAACATTTGGAAATTACATTAATCGAAGTTAAATCGCAAATATTTGCACTGTGTTATTATTACGATTTGTCTTTGTGATAAATTAGTTGTCATGTTATTTCTATGAATTCTTCCACCCGCTGTATTTATTGAAAATTATTATTTTCCTTTCGATGATACTCAATAACTGATTTGCTGTATGAAGGGACTTTTATATGATTTAAATAATGTGTATTAAGAGCGATGGTCCATTCCGTTCGAGAAAGCTTTGCTACTCGATGTTCGCGTTACATACTTCACATACGGAATTCAAAAAGATATCTCAGACCGTCATTACGGATGTGAATCACGAGGCAGCATGCAAGCTAGGATTACCGATGTGTACATATTGACTTGCTATGAAGGGACTTTTATATGATTTAAATAATGTGTATTAAGAGCGATGGTCCATTCCGTTCGAGAAAGCTACTCGATGTTCGCGTTACATACTTCACTTACGGAATTCAAAAAGATATCTCAGACCGTCATTACGGATGTGAATCACGAGGCAGCATGCAAGCTAGGATTACCGATGTGTACATATTGACTTGCTAACGATGGCATTTGCTATTCAAATCGAGCGAGATCCACCGCATATATCGGTGAAAAAATATCGAAGGAGCGCTTTAAAATCCGGTGAAACGTTAATTATTACCACCCGAGAGGATTGTTCATAAAGATACCATAATTATGATCTTTCCGACAATATTGCTGAACAGTTTTACGGCATAGCTCATTTTTCAAACATTTCCAAATTGAACGGCGAGTTTCTTTTTTGCGATCTCAAGCGTTTCACAAAATCTCTAATAAATCGCGAAAATCCTCAGAGTTACGAGAATTTTCGTCTTTTCAGTCTCTCGAAGATTACCCTAAGTTTTAGTACGAAAGTCTCGAGAGTTCCGAAAATATTTAGAGTACGTTGAATCTCTTCTCGAGAGTCTAGAGTTCGTAATCGGAAGACTAGCGAGAATATATAATGCCATAGGAGCTTCGATTTTCTCGGTTTGTGAACAAAACAAAGCAAAGTTAAAGCTTGGAAATTTAAAAAAGTAGAATGAAAATATTTTACAAGAGATATCCGCTCGCCAGCTGATCGTTGCGAGGGAGAAAGAGAATTTAACTTTTTCCTTTTTTTTTTTTTTGTATTCGCGAGATGCAAAATGCGAACGGAAAAGTTTTGTAAAACGCCGGCGATGAAACAGTCAGCCCGACGCTAAAAGCTTCTAATACACCTCTAAAGGCCTCGAGAGAGCGTTTCACAGCTTCATTGAATTATGCGCTTGATGTTCTTCACCGAGTGTCAATTGCGCAGTCGTTAAGTGAAGCCTTCAGATTCTCCACGGCCTGAATGCATAAAATTTATTTCGACGTAACGTTGAAAATGTATTTATGACACCGACGCGGAAATCTGTGCAATTTCAGCGCGACAATATGGCGCGCCGTCTCTCTCGTATTTACGAAGATAATGCAATACATCATTTCATTCGATTACAATGAAACATTTATTTTTCGTTCGCCGCTTTATTGTATTATACTTTATTCGTGACGATTTCATAGCTAGAAAAGAGTGAATTTAACGTGCTGATATGAAAAATATATAAAGCACATACGTATATAGTTAATATCGCGTGCGCGATGATTCATTGTCAATAATTCTTCGCGTGGCAATAATTCATTAATGAAAGTATCATAAAATGTCAAAAACCGCGGATTCGGATTTTCCTTTTACAAACTATCTAGTAACACTGCGATCGAAATTATCGATATCAGCGTCAAATGTTTTCCCTTTTTTTTTTTTTATCCATCCTTCGACTCGTGCAAATTTAACAATTCGTATAAATGCGAAGGCGTTTAGCTGACGCGTAAATCGCAAGATAACAAAGAAGAATAAGGGGAGGAAAATTGAAATGTCTCTCTTTAGATTTTCTATCCACGAAATCCGTCTCTCAGTCATTAGTATTGTCCGGGATTAACTCGGAGCCAGATGGGGGCGTGATTCATTAAGTAGAACGGAATTGAGTAGTCGACTCACCGAAGGAGATGAGGCCGCTGTTCAGCATAGACAACTTGATCTGACTGGGAATGGAGGCGAGACTCTGTCCGGGATTTAGGTGACGCTTTCTGGGCGGTTTCTCCGGCGCCCGGGGCGCGCTTCTGCTTCTGTGATGATGATGGTGCTTCCTGTGCGAGTGGGAATGCGAATGGGAACCGGCGGCAATCGAAGTTGCACCCGTACGATCGGAACCGACACTGCTCAAACCGAGAACGCCACCGCCAACGGTCGACTGCGTTCGTAGAGACGACATATTCTGTAAAAAAAAAAAAATCAACAAAGGGAACAAAATTAATAAAATTATAAATTATATCTATTTAGATTGATACTAAAACGTATATAGATATACAAAACACAGGTATTTACACACGAGCGAATAACAGAGAAAGTGCACACAAAAAATGAAAGAAAAAATAATTTATTTAAAATTTAAATTTTATTTGTTTATTAGAAATAATAATTATCTCTCTACTTTATTTTTAATTTCGAAAGATTTTTTAAATTCTGTGTATATTTGTAACGATATTCTTATTCTTTAAGATTATTATTTATAAATTGATTCTTTTATACGCAATTGATTAGATGACGTTAAAGTAGCACAGAAACATTTCATAAAGTTAAAGTAAATAGTAAATAATTACAAATAAAGTTTTCTAGTTTGGGTTTGGAAAATATAGTTAAAAGTATATAAATGATATAAATACATTAAAACCTTCACACAGTTACAAGTATACTAACCGACAATTTACTACATATATATTCCTTGCCGTTCTCCTGCGAAAGGCAAACATAAAAAAAAAGATATCGAATAATAATCCTCCTTCAATATTTACATCCGGACAGCTTGTATATCTGAGGGTATGTATGACGTTAAGCGGCGATCAACAATGTTTGTATGTCATATACACTGTTCCCCGAAGGATTATCATTGTCCTCGTTACGATCCTGAAGCATACCGAGCGACGCGTAAGCATGCTGACTGGGGAATGTAGGGACACATATGGGGAACATATATTT